TATTGGCATCTGGATGGTACTTTTTTGCAAGCTACAAAGTGTTTAGAAGTAAAGCCATTAGTTCATATTAAGCATGCTGGCATGCACTATAGAGGAAAAGCTATACGTACTGGGAATGTTGCTCAAGTAAAGGTTCAGTCTTGTGAGATTAATTGAACACACATGTTCCCTCACGTTGGTGTATGAAATAAACAAGGGAAATTTTCTGAAATAGGAGTAAAAACGTTTCAGAATTTCAAAATATGACTGACATGTTTTTAATTACTAAATAGGAGTAATTATTGTCAAGCTTGGAAAATACTGCCATTTTTCAAGTCTGGTACTGCCAAAACATGGCAATAATTACTCCTATTTAGGGAATAAAACATGAAAGTTCTATTTTGGAATACACAAACGTTTTTAGTCCTATTTAGGGCAATTTTCCAGAAAACGACTATTAATGTGTTTAAATCACATGGATCTATTATAGTTGTTCGCTCAAACGTGGCAAATATAAATACATAAACACCAAAACTAAGAGTAGAAGATCAAAAGAAATCATCTACTATTCAAACTTTGGAAAGGCATTGAAGTATTTACTCACCACATGAAAGGCCTTTTTAATCTCTTCTTGGCTGGCGCCTTTAGAAACCCCTAAAAGATCATAATAATCTTTTTCCATAGAGTGACAAACTCCTGGTATATGAAATCAACAATGTCTTGACATTACCAACAATGCGAACAAATGAACCGACAAGATAACTACACAAGAAACCACATACTATCTGACTGTTTTATCATATAAAAGGTCACTTCATGTATGATAGGAACCTGTAGAGTGTATAAAATGCCTTGATGACGGACATTCACCAATTGCAAAACTTGCTGCCATACCAATAACATTGGAACTGTACAAAGCTGACATATAAGCAAAAGCACTGATTGTATGAGTTACCCCGCAACTAAAATTGTTCAAGTAAAGAAAAAACCTCTATCTTGAGAGAATGTAATCTGATGTAAAAAATAATAATATCAAAAAAAAATCCATTTTGATATCTAAAGGCTCATTGCAATTGAAAATTTTACATCTACTCTGCGACAATGCTCGTTGGAATTTCATAGGGCAGGGCAAAATTTTGCTTCTAACGGCTGATTCAGCAACAACTCTATGCGGAGACTGCAAAAACGTTATTGGGGAAAATGCAGTTAAGGTGAGTAGTTAATTGAACTATATATGTGAACACTCAATCTTTAATGGACCTACCAAAATATTATGAACAAATGATCTTGACGGAAGCCTAATCCAGCTCAATCTGCCCATTTCGAGCTAAAAGCTTGTGACGCCCTGTAGAAGAATGTTATACAATGCTGATATGATCAATGAGTTACATGTAGTGAGTCGTTGATTATGGAGAGGTTTAGGGTTTTCAGGGGAACGTCATCTGCCTTCTCGAAGGTGCCCGGCGTCATGAAACGGTTTGCAGGTAATGAAAACCGCCTCTGCGCAATTAATTTCGTACTAACATTTAAATTTCTTTTAAATTTGTTAGAAGTTTTTCTAAATATGTTTGATCTGATCTGATTTGATCTAAATCTTTCTGATCTGATCTAATTCTTCCTGGTCTGATCTGATTTGAATATTTTCGATCTCATTGAGTGTTTATTATTATCATTACCATTAATATTATTATTATTTTATTATTATCATCATCATCATCATGATTATCATCATCATTATTAGTATATTATTATTACTATTATTATTAGTAGTGCGTAGTAGTGTCTACACACTACTAATAATCATAAATAATATAATGATAATTGTAATTATAACAATAATTACAATAATTACAATTATAACTATTTGTAATTACTATTAATGTTCAAGCAAGAAATTGTACACATGAACATAATATTGTAGTAACAAAATACTGCCGTTTTGTCGACTGAGTCACCGTGATTTACTCCCTCACCATCCTGTCGGGTCGGGGTGGGGGGGCTTGGGGTTGGGGGGGATTCAACCTTTTGGACGTAGTAACAAAATATGTTATGGAAGAAACCATCATCAATGAGACAAGTGCTAGTTCTAGTCTACTATGAGAAACAGATGTTATTGACATTCACACTAGCAGTTCACCCCGTGCGATGCACGGTGGTGTCGGATATTTTGCACAATACTTTGTAATAAAAGGCTACTACAATGATCAAAATAAATTGTATTTTCCAAAAGTATTTGGGATATAAAACTATTTTTTCTCTCTAGGGTTTCTTACCGTTAGAGTTACTCGTCCGCTATCAATTTCGTCAAGGAGCAGTGCCGCTTCGGCTTTGTTTGCGGTTAGAGGATAAGGAGGAAGGGAGCGTAGAGGAGGCAGCGCGGTGGTCGTTTCGTTTTGACTTGGCGTCAAGGAGGTCAGATTGAGACGGTTGGCAGCGGAGGCCTTACGTCGAGAAGGAGGGTGGAGGTTGTGTGTAAGCTAGGAGGTTCCGATCGTCTAGTCAAAGGACGACAAGGGCTGCTTGGAAAAGATTGTTGACCAATACAAGAAGATGGCTATATGAGAGGAAGCTGAGGAGTTGGATCTTGATGAAACCGAGCTCGATAATGTTCCAATTGACGAGAATCGAACGAGTTGTCCGGTTGTGGGCGCTTTGTTAAACGGATAGTAAAATCAAGATTCCGGTTTTCAAAGAGCAAATGGGATCCCTGTGGAGACTGGGGAAAGGTGTATTGATCAAAAAAATTATCGACAAGAGGTATCGTATCTATTTACTTTTTATCATACTGTTGATATGAAACGTGTTCTTGATGGAAGCTCGTGGCAATTTGAGAGGAATTTATTGATTCTAAAAGAAGTTAAGTCTGATGATATTCCTCACAAGATTTGTTTGAATGAAGCTGAATTCTGGGTACAAGTGCATAATGTTCCTCAAGGGTCGTTTGGTTCAAAGAATGTTATATTACCATGAGAATGTCAAATTGTTGGATATGTTAGATTGATGGGAATGTATTCAATTTATTCTCATTTGTGTTTGGTTAAGATTACGTGAATGTGACATTAATTTATTTGCTTAAAAGATGCTACGTATCTTATATTGCAGATATGGTGGATTACTTCAATGCCCTTTAAACATTTTCTCTTAACACAATAAATCTATTACAACCTACACAAAATCAAATAATTTTTAAGTAGGTTAAATAGTAAGGGGTTGTAGATCCAATACAGAGATGATATAAAACTCTATTCAAATAGCAATCTAAATATATTTATTATCATTTCAAAAAAATTAAAAAATGTTCAAGTTATTCATAAAACTTGTTTTCAAATTAAAGAAAATATGATCAATTTTGCCATTAAATTTTGAAATACACTCATTAAAAACATAAATAATCGATAAATCTTATAACATAAATACCTTAAAAATTTTAAATGTTAAGGAAATAAGAATTATGAAAATAACAAGAATAGACATTCGAATAATTAAATAAACATATTCCATCTGTCTCATTTAAAATGTTGTCACACAATCTAGATATTCGACTGACTATAAAATTAATAAATAATGACAAATATATAACCGAAATGAAGGTAATAGACAAAAATATGACATAGTGACTATAATAGTAACTTTATTGACCATGATAGTGTTCAACTTTACATCATAGTTTCTAATACATATTTAGAAACTACATTAAAAATTATAAAATCAGAAAAATTCAAATTTGATAAAAGTTGAATACATAGAGAAATTAAATGAAAAACGATAATTAATTGAGGGTATTTTCGGAAGAAAATTAGATCATCCCCGAGAATGTCAGATAACCTAAGGCATGGAAGGGTATAACATTCCTCTCCATGTTACATTCTCGGGAATGTAACTTTCCCGATTTTTTCTCAAAACCGTGAACCAAACATGGGTATCTAACATTTCGGGCATCACATTCCGGCCTCAATGTGAGATAACCCTAAACCAAACAGGCCCTTATAGTTTGATGAATTCAGGCACTGCTAGACGTGTTGGTAACTTTATTGAGAAGCTTGTTTGTTATGATGATAATCAATTTGGTGATAGGTGAGAATCTTATCTGCGAGTTAGAGCATGTATGGATGTGGAAAAACCTCTGAAAAATGGTACATCCCTCGAAAAAGGAGGGATTGGTCATTGGGTGGATTTTAAGTATGAAAAATTGCCCAATTTCTGCTTTGTTTGCGGTATTATAGGTCATTCTGATCAATTCTGCTCGTTGGCATATGAAGAAAGTCTTGTACTGGAAAAAACTTTAGGGGTACATCTTAGAGCAGGAAGCTGGGTGAAGGCTAGTCCTACAGCAGGAAATAAGTGGCTGGTGGAAGGGTCATCTAGTTCGAGCCGGGTCCCCAACATAAGGAGGACAACAGGTCTGATGGTAGAACAAGAGGGGGTTGGAAGGAGGCTATGCGAGATACGAGCAATAGCTCAACAATAGATGTGGAATTGGGAATTAATGAGGAGATGTCTGGACAGCAGAAACGAAGGCGCGTCTGGAAGGCCCAGGACACAATGATTCAAGTGGGGGATAATATGAATTTGGATGGGGCAAAATACGGGGAATCAACGCCGGGTTCTTGGAAGATGGTGGTCACTGGGAAGATGGGACAGAAGATTTACTTTTCTGCTTTCATTTATTTTGATTGTCTGAAATTTATTGTTTACTGTCGGTTTTTTATTTTATTCTGTTGTAAGACTGTGGTTTTGGATGTGGGTGATGAAAGAACTGCGTTAACCGTCTTTGACTCATTTGCACCTAGTAATGAAAGGACTGAGTTATATTGCTTCTTTCGAGGTAATAAACTCTTAGTCTGGTTCGAGGGTCGACAGTTATCTGGAGTCTTTTTATCTTTTTACCTACTATCTGAATGATGTGTTATCAATTTAAGCTCATTTCTTCCAAAAGTATTTTGGATATTTTCCAAAATACTCCGTATTTATTTATAATTATTACAATAAAAAAGGTAATACACTTTCGAAAAAAGAAAAGGTAATACAATGATCAAATTAAATTGTAAAACCTTAAAATGAGATAATGTCACAATGCAAATTAATAAGTACTAATGGTCAAATGTACAATTATAACGCAGCGCCAACACGGACAATTAACACAAATCCAAAACACCGTAGATGACTTTTTGGAGTGGATCAAATTAAAAAAGGTTTTAAAGTGTAAAATAAAAATTAATTTTCGGTCGTCCAAGAAGTCAATCTGACGCATTATGAACCTTATCTGATTCATTTTTTTCTTTTATTCAAGAAAATATCACATGTCTATTAGAAAAATGAATTAGATAAAGGTTATTATGTATTAATTAGATTGACAATTTGGACAACTAAGAGTAACTCTTATTTTACACCTTAATGCTCCTCTTTATTTAAACCATCTCCACCAAACTTTTAGAACAACAATATGTAAACATCATTTATGTTCCAATCACATGAATTGTCGTAATTGTTTGGAAGTAGAACGTTGGGTCCAGGGGTGTAGACAGGAGGAGACCGGCGGGGCTTTGGTCCCTGCAAGAACAAAATTGTGATATTTATACATATGTATAAATATTTATAAATAATAAAAAATATAGTGAAAATTTAAGCTTTGACCCCCGACTATATAAATTCCTTAATACCCGACCCCTTTAACCTGTCATTCCTGGCTCCGCCACTGATTGGGTCCAATATCATCAACAAAACAATTATTTTATGTTTGATGAAAAAAAATTAGAAACAATTTTTCTAATTAAATTTAACTCCGTATATATTTGTATAATTGTAATTAATGTTGTCTATATAGAACATACTATATACAGAAATAAAATTTTACAAATATTAAATCACTTCCGTGGTGCAATTATTATTCCTCTAGGTCCACGTCCAGTCCAATTTAAAAAATGTCTATATTTTTAGTGTAAAAATTCCGTGTAAAAAAAATCAAAAGTATTCTTTATACCGGCCCAGTTCTCTGGCTCCGCCCATGCCCATGTATCTTCCGTTAGTTTTCTGCCGCTGCTAGATAGCTATGCTCAAATGATAGCCTACCACATAAGCTCTAAGGTGAGTACGACCTCGCTAGAATCCCGCCCAGGCTCAAGTTCTGCTGTCCAGACCGATCTGGTTGTAGGTTCTTTTTGCAGGTTAAGTTCCTAGTTAGGCGCAGCAGCTATTATTGATTATCAATCCCGATTAATGGGCTGCTCCCAAGTAATGAGCTTTATTTCAATTCGTTCTTGGGCCGTTGTGAGCCATTGTACTATAGTGTCCAAATGCATATACCAAATGTGTTTCCACTACAAAACTTAATATGAGTAATTCGACAAACTGAGGAGTATTTTTTCCGGTATCATAACTAAATAGAGTAAGTAGATTGTGAATAAAAAAATTTGCTACACGATGCTTATGACTAAATCGATGTTCACGTCTGTTAAAAATCAAATAAAAATAGTAAGTGTAGAATAATTTGCCACAGAAATAAGTGGAGTCAAATACACCTTAATGAAATGTCAGGTCAGTGCAAAACAAATTCAGGCTGGCGATTTCATATCACGACTAAATTGGGAAGCCATTTTGGTCATTTGGTGTAGTAAATCAATTTCACAACTCACAACACAATTTTGAAGCTCAAAGAAAAGTTGAAAAAGAAAAATTAAAATGTAAGAAAACGTTGTTATTTTTATAATAAGGAATAAATCCTTCTAATCAACGAAATTTACACCTTTGGAGATTCTTGGTGAGGAACTGAGAAAGAAGAAGGGTGATTCGTTCGGCAAGGAAGATGAACAATAGTTCCAAGAAAAGTTTCCCACTCGTCAGCATAGATTGTTTGCAAGTATACTGAGTAGAAATCCAATCCTTATTCTCGGTCCGGAGTCTTCCTTGCTGCGACTGCTGAACATTGCAGCCTGAAAGCACTCCTAGGCAACTGAATTCCGGCTCGTACTTTCACTTCACCACAACCGCAATAGGCTACGATGCTGAATCGCAGCCCTCTCTAGTGTCACTTCACCTCCATTGGTCCAATTAGACTTCATGATATGGTTGAGGTGTGTATGGCAGTGTGATTGGAACTACAAAACTATAGGGAGAAACCAGAGACAGCAAACAGATGATTGAAACTACAAAACTCTCAGTTTCTCGACATGTGAGAAGACTAAAAACTCTCAATTTCTCTGACGTACAAACCAGTCCGGCGAACTCGGGCGAGACATTTCTTCCTCCGATGGCGCTGAAATCACTCTTAAATTCTCTTTCCCTCTTCTTCTCTCAGTATTCCAAGGGTTTTATGATGGTTTGTGGTTATGGTTTTTTGGTTTAAACCTTTAAGGTGGTGGTATATATATTCAGAGGACAATTCATGTCCAGCCGGCTTGAGGGGAACCGCCGTCCGACCGAGGAATTTCGAGACCTTTCCGGTACAATTTTTTAATGGAAGTTTTTGAGCGTGTTCTTCATCAAATCTAGTTTATCCATACCAAATTTCAACTAAAACTTCAAACGGGAAGGCAGTCAAACGTGTAATTGAAAAAGACTACATTTTATATATATATAAAGTGCAGTTATCTTAAAAAAAATTATTTAACTGCCTTCCCGATGGAATTTTTAGCTAAAATTTAGTATGGATAAGCTAGACTTAATGAAGAACATGCTCAAAAAAATTCATTAAAAAATTCCATCAGGAAAGTCCCGAAATGACCTCAGCCCGGACGACGGTTCCGGTCAAGCTGGCTGGACCAGAACGGGACTCTATATATTCATATGTATGTGTATGTACATGACTACGGCGCTCTTTTTCTTCGTGTGTGGTAGCAGTTCATCGATTGGAGGGTATTTAGGAAGGTTCTAGCCTGCCTTTACTTTCTTTCTACCCTTTCCAGCGTGAAATAGCCCGGCACCGTAGCTGCTCTACGGTTCGACGGCAAAGCCTCCTCTCTTTTCTCCTTCCAGCATCACAGGCCGCCCAGTTCTTATCCAGTCCGACTCCCTTTGGTTTGGTAGTCACTAGTCTCAATATGACGTACGGATATAAACTCATATTGATTATTGCTCCACGCCTCCACACAGATGTCAGCTTCTATCACATCAGACATGTTCCTTTTTATCTTTCCAAAGCCATAAAACAAATTGGACCGCCCAATGCATTTACAGCCCGAGTAAAATAACCCATTTACCCGTTCAGCCGAATTCTACCCGTGTTTTTGGGCGGGAAGTTGAACATCTCTCCACGGTGCTTTGTATATAGTATAGAAGTATAGATTAAAATAAAGCGAGCAGCAATGCCGTTGGGCTTGAGGAGGGCTCTAGTCATAATTTGAGCTTTACCCCATATGAGTTAAAAACATTCATCTCTTATCAAAGAACCTTTTCAACACACAAATAGATCAAAATTCTAAAAAAGTATCCAAAATGTGCATAAGTGTCTAATTTTAAAGCCTCCAGAATAATCTTAGCCAAAATAATATTTGAGGGCACACAAAAGTGCAAAGAAACAAAAAAAACATGGGTTTTTCTTGAAATAAAATGAGTAAATAAATCTCCAAAAGAAGTGTAAAACTCCTGCTGAAAAACAATGAAGTGATTCTGTGAATAAAGCAAGATAACGTTCAACTCATTCAGTACCTGCGGGGGAAGCGGTCTATGAACCTTGCAGATGGACATTCATATGCCATATGCCCCCTCCCGCCACAGTTCTGACAGAGCACCATCCTCATGCAATCCTGGCTCATATGTCCATACTGTGAGCAGATCCTACACACCATATCCCGAACCCCAGCATCCCTATACCCAGCAGCAGCAGAAATAGCACGAGGCCGCAGGCCCCGCTCCTCGGTAATACCAGGTTTCGTGCAATCTCGGGCGACATGCCCGGACACGTTACACGAATTACAGACGGGGTCGTTCGGGCAGTCAACTGCCAGGTGTCCAGTCTCCCGACAGTTCTTGCAAGCCTTCTCGTTTGTGCAGTCGGCTGCAAAGTGGCCTTGCTTAAAGCAATTGTGGCAGAGTCTCAGATCACCTGGTGGCAGGGATTGGGAAGTGCAGTCTTTTGCACGGTGTCCCGTTTTCCCGCAAGTGTGGCAAACTCCTTCATTTGGGCAGTTCCCAGCCATGTGCCCCGGTTCCCGACAGTTCCAACATAGAGATTTTGTGTTGCATTCTGATGCAATATGCCTGCAGGTTCAGATTCACCTTAGATGTAAATTTAACATTACAATTTACTTTAAACTTATGGTACCATTCATGGTTGTCACGGCGTCGACTAGGCTCGCCTAGGCGCCGACTAGGCGTCGCGGCGATGAAGAGGCATCGACTTGGGAGATCGACTCGCCAGAAGATGACCAGTCGCGTATGTCGTCGCCAAGGCGTCGTCCTGGCGTGAACTTTGCGACTTGTGGCCGCCTATTTTAGCCCAGTAGAAAGTCGTCCGCAGGCCCAAAAGGGTTTAATTTTTTTTAGGAAACACATTTAATTAAGGTTTTAACTTAAGGCGGTGGCCTTCTAGTTAAATACATAGTCCGAAGCCATCGATTAACTCACAGAAGGTTGAAGCAGTCGCCGGTCAAGCCATAGCCACCTCCCTGTCCGTCGTTGAAGGTTGAAGCGTACGACCAGTCGACCACCAGGCACCAGTCCAGGCACCAGTCCAGTTGAGTAATGATTTCTTAGTTGACGCTCCTCTATTACTTTACGGCTCCCAGCAAGTATATATTAGTATATTACGTAGTAATATATATGAATTATAAATATAACTGTTCTAATATAGTAATATAACTAGTATACATGTCATCTTTTCATCTAGCCCGCTTGGAAGTTGGAAACAAAAATAAAATTTTAGAACCGCAAATTGACTCCCTCATTCTTTGTAATAAAAACTGCAATTTGATTGTGAATTTGTGGTTCTTTATTCTATAAAACAATAATTTATTTTTATTTTTAATAACTGCAATTCGTATATTAGTTTAATAATAAACTCTTAAACCATTAATTTATTATATGTATATATGTAATATACAATTATACATATAATAGATATAACTGCAATTTAATAACTGCAATTCGTATATTAGTTTAATAATAAACTATGAAATATTTAAACCATTAATTAATTATATGTTATAAAATAATAAACTATTAAACTATTACAAAAAATATTATATATATAATTAGTTAATTACGTATACAACTATACACATAGTTCAACCTTTTGTTTGTATTAGTTTTTATTTGTTAGTTGGATAGTTAATTTTTCATTATTTTATTTTAAACCTTTTTTTTATACACAATAGTTATGGCGGACAATGAAGGTGACACCGTGTATGATCCAGCTAAAGATCCGCTTAGAAGAGCAAAATCTAATGATCCAGGATGGAATCATGGATTTTGGCCAGACTTGAACAACAAAGACATAGTCCAATGTAGGCATTGTAATAAGCAAATGTCTTCTGGCATAAAGAGATTAAAACAACATCTAGCTGGCGGGTATGGAGATGTTGCTAAATGTCCTCATACGACAACAGAACTTATGACGGAGATGCGAGCATATTTAATGAGGAAATCCAGGAGTAAACCGATCCAGATTGAAGATGACGGCGATGAGGATGATGTTGAAGTACCTTTCACTCAAATAGATACTTCAACTTCTCAACCGAGTTCTGGGACAGCAACCAAGAGGAAAAATGCTGCTTCGCAATTCTTTAATGTCCCACCAAAAATGCCCAAACAAAACAAATCAATTGCCTCCATCATTCGCAAAACTCCTGAGGAGGTTGTTGATGAAAGACATACGAAAGGCCCCACCCAAACTACACTAGAACAATGCACAAAAAGCAAGGAGGAGAAAGAGAGGGTCTTCATGCACATTGCTGATTTTTTTTATGAAAATGGCATTCCTTTTAATGCAGCAAACTCCAGGAGTTATGAGATCATGGTGGAGTCAATTGGGCAGTTTGGACCAGGACTTAAACCTCCTATCTATCATGAGTTGCGTGTACCACTTCTTGAAAAAGCAAAGAAAAATACAGAGAAGTTCAGAGAAAAACATGAATTTGCTTGGAAGGAATACGGGTGCACACTCATGTCTGATGGATGGTCTGATCGAAGGAATCGACACTTGATTAATTTCCTTGTCAATAGTCCAGAAGGTACTTTTTTCCTAGACTCGGTTGATGCATCAGGTGAATCTCAAGATGCAACATTGCTAGCAGGTTTGCTTGAGAAAAAATTTGAAGAAGTTGGAAAAGACAATGTAGTGCAAGTGGTGACAGACAACGGCTCTAACTATAAGGCTGCGGGAAAGCTTCTAGAGCACAAGATATCCACGCTTTATTGGACTCCATGTGCTGCACATTGTTTTGATTTGATGTTGGAGGATATCGGTAATTAGCCGATTTCAAGCCCTACATTGAAAAAGCAAGACGTCTGACCACTTTCATTTATCGGCATACAAGAATCCTCCATTCAATGAGACAAAAGACGGGTGGGAAGGATCTTGTAAGACCAGGAGTTACTCGATTTGCAACAGCGTTTCTCACTTTGCAATCTCTATATAAACACAGAGAAGCATTGAGAAATCAATTTAGCGGTCTGGATTGGAGTAGATCTAAATTGGCTGCCACATAAGCAGGAAAGAAGGTTAGTGAGATTGTGTTGTATGTTAGATACTGGAGTGCAGTGGAAGATTGCATACGAGCTTCACAGTCACTTTTAATTGTCTTGAGGATAGTTGATGCTGATGAGAAACCGGCTATGCCAGAGCTTTCGCTAGCCATGGATTGTGCCAAGAAAAAAATTTGCGAGTCATTTGAAAATAAGACTAGACTTTTGAGAAGCCTAGTTCGGATCATTGAGACACGATGGGAAGTCCAGATGGAGGTCAAATTATACGGGGCAGCTTTGTTTTTAAATCCGTCTAAAATATTTTGATCTCAAACAAACCGATCCCACATCAGCATCAAAGCAACGGTCAATGTTTAACGATGTGCTTGAAAAGATGGTCACCGATGAAACATTGCAGGCCAAGATAAGTGATCAAGCGACAGATTATGACAAATTGAGAGGCAGTTTTGCAAAGCAGCTCGCGATTAGGCAACAAAAATCTAAGAGTCCTCGTAAGTGATACTTTTTATTATTTTAAAAATTTAGTTTAAATATTTTAAATATTAAATAATATTTTATTTGTGATTAATCTATAGTTGATTGGTGGGATGCTTTTGGTGGACTCGCTGTTGAGTTGCAATCGTTCGCAAAACGCATAGTTAGTCTCTGTTGTACCTCTTCTGGCTGTGAGCGTAATTGGAGCACTTTTGAGTTTGTAAGTAATACACTTACAATTTTGAATACCAACTACAATTTTTAAATTACACAAGATTTTAACTAATTAAATCAAAACACTTATCAAATATATTTTTTATCTTTATTTTAGATTCATACAAAAAGAAGAAGCAGGTTAGAGCATAAGAGGTTGAATGACTTGGTTTTTATTCAATATAATCGGAAGATAGCAACCAGATTTCAGAAGCGGCGTGAAGAAGGAACAAACTTCAACCCTTTAATATTTGAAGATTTCCAATGGGACAATGAATGGGTCAGCAATGAAGTTGTTCACCCTGGTGATGATCTTCTATGGAGTCAAGTTGATGAAGCCGTGGGTGCATCAAGCAATCTTGAGGGTCGTAATCTTCCTAGAACTAATAACTCTCGTGGAGAACCGGTTTATTATCGACATCGTGGTTCGAATTCTTCATTAAGGTTGATTGATGAAGACATGAACAATGAAGAAGAAGAAAGTTTTCCAAATGATGATGAAGATGTTGAAGATGACTATGGCCAAACACCACCCACTCCTACTCATGATGATGATGATCAGGGCGAAGGCCGTAGAGATGATTTAGTCCTTGATGATTTTTGAGAACTTAGTAGTTTGAACTTTGATCTTTACGCTGCTTATTTGAGATATACATTTTTAATCTTAATTCCCATTAATAAATCTTGTTTTTAATTATTAATTGTGGATTTCAATTCCAAGTTATATACATTTTAGTTAGTAATATATTATACATAATATATAATTAAATATATAATTATGTATGTAAATATATAATCATATATATAATATATTAATATATAAATATATAATATAAATATATAATACACGTATAGGCGACTAGTTGCCTAATTGTCGCCTAGGCGGGCGCCTTGTCGCCTAGGCGATATGGCGGTGAGTTGGCGCCGCGACTCGACTTACCGCCGTGACAAGTATGGTACCATTAGAGTTGACAAGTAAATAGCAGATAAACCGTATGCTATTTGTCTGTCCATTCACTCACTTCAATACTTCCTTATAATTTGACCTTTTATGAAGTCTATTTACAAATATATACTTCCTCCGTCCCGAAAAGGTTCGCCAAATTGATTTTTCTTGGTCAATGACAATCCACTTTGGGGTTGAAGGCCGAACAGGCCTTGATGAATCAGAAACTTGACGAATCAGAAACTTGACGTGCAAGGGCAGAAGCTGGACATGCAAGGCATCCAGCTGGCGGAAATAGCAGCCTCCCTGGCTGCGCTCACGAAGGTGCTTGCACTGCCAGAGATGAAGGAGCCCTCGTCGGCCGCATCCTCCAGCATCACACCATCGGCGCACACTTGCGACGGTGGTTTGCGCAGCACCGCACTCACCTTGCTGCCCTCGTTCGATGACAAAGACCCTATTGGTTGGGTGGCTAGGGTTGAACAGCAGTTTGAGCTAAACGGGACTGCACCAGAAAGAAAAGTGGCAACGACGGTGGTTGTCATGGAAGGGGCTGCTCTATATTGGGTGATCTGGTTGAAAGCACAGAAACGGGGCACGGCCTGGGAGGAATTCACACAAGCACCGGTGGCTCGGTTCGACTCCCGGTTCAAGGGCAGCCGATTTGAATGGCTGTATGGGGTCAAACAGATGGGTACAGTGGAGGAATACAATACCCTATTAGTTCAATTGGCCAGCCAGGTTCCCGGGATGTCTGATAATCATTATCTAGGGTATTTCCTGAATGGGCTGAAAGGGCCGATTCGGGGATCCTTACGGTTGCTGCAGCCAAACAGTCTGGAGATAGCAATGGAATTGGCAACAGATATTGAGGACAATCTGTCCTTTCAGAATGGAGGTCAGGGGAGCCAATCCTACAATACGGAATCGCGTTCGGGCAGTTTTTCGTGACCAGGTGGGGGTAACAGCCAGTGGTGGACCCACTAAGGGTCCCACGGGGTCCCGGGACCCCACGGACCTCCAAAAAAATAACCATATACTCCAAAAATAGGAGCTATATTTTATAAAAAATTACCAAAAAATGTATATATACACAAAATGCTAGAATGAAACATAAGGTATAAATAGGAGGAATGGTAGCAGGAGCTATATTGAACTTCTCAGTTCTCGCGTTGGTACATGGGTCGATTCTCTCCTGTGACCATTTTTTGTTTTTAAAATTTATTATTGTAAAATATCAAAGCAACATCATTTTGGCTTTTTTTAATTCCCTAAACCTCAGTCCGAACATCCATGACAATCATCTCTCCAATTCAGAGACACACAGCCGCCCAGGTTTTGAAATTTACACTTTACATAATTCAATTTTTTTGAATTAATTATTAAAATTTCTTTGAATGTTTAGATTAAATTATTAAGTACTCTTCAGAAGTACTAATGCGGAATTGTTTTTGAATTTATTTAAAACGGATATTCTTTTTTTGCATTTTCATTTATAGTTGATTTGCGGGATGTTTTTAGTTGACTTGTTATCGAGCTACAATCACTTCCAAAGCGCACAACCAGTTTTTTGCAAAGCGCATAGCCAGTCTGTTTTGCAAAGCGCCTTAGCCAGTCTTTCTTTGTGTTTGAAAGTACCCACAAAACATACAAATACAGAAAGCTTTGAACTTATTATAAGAAAATATCGATGGATCAATTTTTTTAAAATTCGAGATTTTGACAGGTAAAACAAACAGGTTGGTGTAAAAGAAGTTGATTGACTTAACAGATAGCAGGGTTTCAGAAGCGATGTTAAGATATAATGAACTTGAACCCTTTGATCAATAGACTTTCAGTGGGTCCTTGTCTCCTTGAATGAGCTAACAACATGGCTGTTCATCCCGGTGAAGATCTCTATAGAGTAAAGTTGATGAAGATATGTGTGCATCAGGCGACCTTCCTAGAAGAGTTTGTGTGGTAACGAAAGTAGTAGATCCCACGAGAAACCAATTCATTACAAACGGCATAGTTAAAATTAATCATTATGGTTGAGTGATGAAGACAAAGTAGAAGATTTTTCAAATGATGATGAAAATGTTGAAGACTTTTATGGCTAAAAGCACCTTCTCCTACTCATGATGATGATAATGACGGAAATGAAGGCCCTATGATTGACTTAGTTCTTTATGATTTTTGAAAGTTTATATTTAAGTGTTCTTATTGCTTATTTAGATGGATATTTATGCTCTCATTTTGAATTACTTAACTCTTGTTTTCATTTAATACATTTTTGGTTTGAGTTCTAGGTAATATATAATTTCTTTTGTGAGGTAATACTTTATTATTCTTAACTACTACGTATAGTGGAACTTGTCGCCTAGTTGCCAACTAGGCGCAGCTTAGGCAATAAGATAAAATAAATTATTCCGATATATGGAGTCATTTGAGGTAAAATATAAAGAGTATAGATTAATTTGCCACTCCAATGTATTTTCTTAAACTATGCATGATTTGATGAATGGAGACATATAAATAGGAGACTGTACAAATCATAACCATGGTACATACCCAGGAAGGGAACAATTGTGGCATACTCCCGCATTAGGACACTCTCTTGCATAATGACCAGGCCTTCTACAATTTTTGCACAGACCGCTCTGGCTGCAAAAAATATAAAACAGTATGTCATTTGAAAACAAGGATGACATAGAAATGTAGAGAAATATAATGTTTAAATTCATTTAAATCCTTTGCGTCTACAATATGCATTAGCCAATGTGTAAAAAGAAAATGTCAGAAACAATGCAACCAAATAAATCCAAGAGAGAATTACAACAACTACAGATGATGAAAGATCCAAGTCTTCCCATCAACATAGCAGATTACAGGAACAAAATGGAGAGGCTGTCATTAATTATATACAGTTTGTGCAATAGAAACACGCATTATTTAGATACAATGATCTTCAAAAAGTAGAAGTGTAGAACCATACAGTTGACATAAAAGCACAACAACTAAATGCTGAATAGTATTGAGAGCAATAAAGTCAATCATATTGGAGCTTATAAATATGACTTTATGAATAAGTTTCAGTGATCCTTTAATACAATTGGAATATATAGAATCAAGCATGTTTATAGCCAAATAGTTAAAATTGAATTTAACCATAACTCCCTTCATCCTATAGCGTACAAGTAAGATACGTATTGAGAGCAAGAAAGTCAGTCATACTACCAGCTTATAAATATGACTTCAAGGATAAGATTTCAATGATCCTTTGGCTATAAATGTGTTTTATTCCTTATAATCCAATTGTATCAAACAGTTTTGGACATTGTAGTTAACCATACCTATGTCCCATAGCGTACGAGTACAATGTATGGGTTTGACACAGTTTTGAGGAAATTTAAGGTAATGGTTGTTGTTTTACCATTTATCAAATTCAAGGAAATTTATAGAATGTTTTGAAAAAAACTGACAACTGACCTATCACATAAAATATGATTTAAAATCTAGTCTGACCCAATAAATACCCATCATAATCAACATAAGACATAAAATAGTGGGTTGAATCATAAACTTCACATTTGATACCCCTAATCTTTGCATAATTTCGTTTTTGTCCATGAACGCTTTAAATCTACTTATTATTGGTTAATTTGGGTCAAAGATGTCTTTAAATCTGATCTAATCTCCATAGTACATGATTAACATAATTCTCCACACTAAGACATAATAAAGAGCCCTCTTCCAACCACCACTTGCTCAATAGAATAGTGAAAGGACCGGATAACCTGAAACTCCGACGTGCATCCCTTCTATATGGTGCATCATGGTAGGAAATCCGCTGGCTACGGTCCTTGTGATCCACTGGGCTTCTGCTTCGACTCCGACTCCGGCTCATGCTCCTGCTTTGGCTTCGACTTTCGGGTCTCATTTTCAAAACTTTCGCATCTATTAACACCACAAACAGCTGCAACGTATCACCACACGCCACACTGACTCCTGACTCCTCCCTGTCCACCAGAACCACACACCCAACACCACGCGAATGAGTCCTCACTACACATCAACTCCCCAATTCCCAAAGCAAAATCTCAACAGCTTCTCGCAAATCGCAATTCAATGTAATAAACACCAACGAATTACTAAAACAACGTCATGAAACAAAACCAACTACCGTTTTCATCAAATTAGACGCCAACATACATCTATTCCCAATTATCTCATCACACTATAACTCCAACTCGATTCTAAAAAAGGGAATTTCTTTTGCTAAAGAAAAGGTGCATCTGTTTACTAAGGCTTCATTGGACGAGTGGGGAGAGAGATGCAATTAAAATGGCAGCACATAGTTAGGCAGTGGTGGTGAGTCATTAAATTACAACTTAAGAAGACAGTTAGTAATAATCGACTAACCTCGGTTGGTCAGGATATCAGACGAACGGCGTGGTGCAGGCTGCATCCAAGGAGAGGAGCAAAACGGAGAGAGCAATACAGCGGGCGCCGGGCGGTAGAGAAAGATGTAGATCGGAAGAATTGGTACTTCCTCGGGCTTTATTTTTTTTTATCTTTCCCTTTTCTTGATAGTCTAAATCGGGTGGGCATAACCTTCCGTTTGACCGAACCGAATCGTACCAAACTGAATTAAACCAAATCGAAACTGAACCATTTATAATTTGATTTGAGTTTGGTAGTATTCCTCTCAACATGTATTAAAGCGAACTGAACCGAATCGAAATCATAAACCGAATAAAACCGAATAAAACTGAACTAATCTAAAAATGAAATAATTTCTTATTTTTTTAAAATAACAAATCAAAATCAACTTACACCAAACTAAACCAAACTCAAATATAAGATTTCTCTCATTAATTTGAATGATGTTGATCTTTTTTAATCTTTAACTCTTTAATTTTAGTGTCGAGGACTAGAGTTTACTACAAAACTTACATTCACAACTATAACAATTATAGTGGTTTAAGTAGATAGTATTTAACTATAATTTATTATCTACTACTACTATATATTTGGTTCATTACTTACTAGCACTAATTTTGTTTTTGTTTCGGCTTTATATATAATTTGATTCATTCTCGTTGTTGTTGTTGCTTACAGATGTGTCATGTTTATATATTTTTGATTCATATGTGTTTTGTTACTGTTTGCAAATTTATATCTAACATTATATTTGGTTCATTACTATCGCTTCTTGGTTCATTATTTTGAGTTATTTTTTTTCAATCCAAACCTTAATACTTGGTAAACAGAACTCCAAACCAAACCGTACAAAACCGAAACCAAACCGAAACTTAATCGGTTTTGTATTTGGTACATTTTCTATCAAACCGATTAAACCGAAACTAAACCGCAACCGATGAAAACCGAACCAAAAACCGGAATGCCCACCCCTAGTCTAAATAATATTGACGGACTAAGCACGTCCCAAATTAATTTACAAACTTGACCTTTTTGTTTTAAGAGTTTGGTTTTGTTCACTTAATTAGGGTGTCAATTTTTAATTATATTCGGATTTGGATTTTACAACTTTGAAAATATTTTAATGTACTTTATGAATATGTTATTTTAATTATTAAAAATTGAATTAAATATCCATAGAGAGAGTTGACTTTTATTATTGGTTAACAAAAAAATGTTGACTTCGCAAAACAAATTGGGACGGAGGGAGTAATTCCTACTACGTATTGATTTTTTCTCTTATGTAAAAAATTTTATTATATAATTTTTACTTTGTTATTCTCTCTTACTAGTTTTTTCACTCGTGCGGTACACGAGGTGAAAAGTTATTTTATTTTATTTTATACTCGTCGCGTTTCAATTTGGATGACATAGTTTGACTTGTCAAAAATTAATGAAAAAAGTTACTGAGGGATAAATTTTACTGTAGAATACACTGTTTTGACATTATTTGATCATATTTGGCACTGTTTTGCACTGTTTTGATATTTGATTTTGAATCATATTTTCAAATCATTAATATATACACCCCAATTCACTATAAAATCATTTGAAATTGCAGCTCACTCCATCAAAAAATTTGGGCTAATGGGGTGCATACATTAATGATTTTAAAATGGAATGCAAAAACAAATATCACTCAAAACATGAGATGCAAACTCATATTCTTCTTTTCTTTATTATAAGAAGTTCTAATTTTTATTTAAGATAAAATGTAACATTACAAATTAGTAAAATACTCATAAATACTATCTTAATTGTTTGTAACCATTTCTCTGCTAGGAGAAATAATCAGAAATACTATTAATCATTTCTTTTGCTAATACCAATTCTTCCGATCTACATCTTTCTGCACCACGCGGTTCGTCTGATATCCCGACCAACCGAGGTTAGTCGATTATTACTAACTCTTCTTAAGTTGTAATTTAATGACTCACCACCACTGCCTAACTATGTGCTGCCATTTGAATTGCATCCCTCTCCCCACTCGTCCAATGAAGCCTTAGTAAACAGATGCGCCTTTTATAATTATTTCTCTAGTAAAATACTAATAAATACTATCCCAATTCAGAAATAATCCAGTCTTTAGATCTCATCTCCATTCATTGTTTCCTGATCGGTTGATAATCTGCTATTCCAGTTTTTTTTCGTTTTTTTTTTGCAAATCATTCAATCATAAATCTCACCTTTCACAAATCTTCTCCAAGTGGTCTCACCCATCATTTTTCCTTTTCTCCCTGAAATTTTTCTTTTTTTATTTGTATCGTCTTGGCTCTTTTATTTCCCTTTTTGGTCTTCTTCTTGTTTTAATTTCGTTTCAACTTTTGTTTATTTGTTTTTTCAATATTTATGTATTCCATTTTCCCATTTTTTCTTCTTCCCATTTATTATTTCATTTTCATTTTTATATATTTTTTTGGATTAGGTTCCTTATTATAAAATATCTTTTTCTTACTGTACTAACTTTTTACTTTACTTCCTTTTTACTTATACTTATTTATTTCCTCTTTCCTTTTTACCTTTATTCCACCATTACTATATTTTTAAGAAAATAACCCTAAAATAGGACTAAACTAATCCCTAAATGCACAAATAGGACTATGCTATTTATCTTCCCAAAATAGCACTACAATACGGTCTCTCTTTTTATTCTACATTTCTACCGTTATCATAATTTCATGGGATAATTATGCTTAAAAAATAAAAATAATAAAAAGTATTTAAATTTATAAAATTATAGTAAAAAAGTTAAAACTATTTTTTAAAAAATACTAAAATAATAAAAATTAATAAAAAATAGTTTAAAAAACTTTAAAAGTAAATAAAAATATACAAAATGCATCAAAAATATAAAATAATTGAAGGCCTTTCCCGCAGCCTCGTAGCCTCGCCACCTCCCAACCATGCCAACTCCAATCGGCGAAAAAATGCCATTTGTGTAAAAACTGCAAGTTTTTCTCTGAAAATGCCAAAATTTTCTATAAAATTGTCATCAAGATGACATTACTAACACATGGTGACATTTTTTCCGATGGTCAGAACTGGTGGTGTTGGGAGATTGTTGAGGCAACAGGCCAACAACTGTCTGCATATTGTTTTACTTTTTTTTTTATTTTATGTTTTTGGGTTTTTAATTTTATAATTTTCGTTTTTCTAATGTTTTAATTTTATTTATTTTATTTAATATTCATTTTTCGTTTTTTTATTTTCTACGTGTTTATTATATATAAGGTTATGTTATTAATTTTATGTTTTAATTATTAATAAAATATGAATTTCACTAAACAAAGCAAGGACATAATTGGAAAGCTATTCCTATTTAAGGAATTTTGAAATTACACTCATATTCCTGCAATTAAAGTTTCATTAAATACTATTTGAGGATTGTCCCTGTATTTTTCTCTTTTCTAAAAAATTCGAAGATAAAATATAAAAAATCCGAAGAAAAAATATAAAAATATGAACAAAAAATTCGAAGAAAAATATAAATAAGTAGCCCAAAAAAATTATAAAAAGAGACTATAACGAGGATTACATAAAAAGGAAAGAAAAAATTTAGGAAGAAAAAATAATAATAATAATAATAATAATATGTGAGACTGTTTCGAGAAGATTTGTAGAATGTGAGATTTATGGTTGAATGTTTTGCAAAAAAAAATGAAAAAACCTGGAATAACAGGTCATCAAACTGGTGAAGGACCAGCGAATGAAATTGAGGTATAAAGATTGTATTATTCTTAGATTACGATAAGATGAGACTAATCTAACAAGATCGTTAAAAGGTTGGATTATTAATTTTCACTCCTTATATTATAAGTAAACAGTCCTGTGTCGATTATCTTTATTTTAGTCATTTGTTTTTACTTTATTTTAGCATTCAAGGTTAACACGTGTCAATGTGTCTTTTAATGAAAACATACAACATATATACAATATTAAAATGTTAGATGTTTGTGTGACCCAAAGATGACGTAAGTCCTGCTGGATTCGTCCTTTGGAGCCAGTACTAACGAGGCTGACTGTGATAAGATCCGGATTTAATTGTCTAGGGGCTTTGGAGGGTAGTTCATAGACTCCAGGATTATGGGAGCGTAAGCCCGACACCCGGATTATAAAAAAAATAGATGTCTGTGTGGCCCAACAAATAAATATTAAGGATTTGAAAATTTTATCAACATTGTGGAGGCTAGTATCAATAAATTTATATACTGTGTTGGGATATTGATCCAGAGGCCCAATACCCGGATCAAGAAGGCCCAAAATACCGGCCCAAGCAACGAACCCATTGCTCTATGATAAGTAGGTCCAGTGAAGAATCTGTGCCGAACGAGATACGGCCCAAATAAGGATTGACACAGTTAGAAGATATCCCGAACGGAGTTCGGACTATATATCATACTTGGCCCAATTTGACATCGTCTTCAGCATAGTCCAACATCCCGTTCGAGCAACGGACAACCGGCAAGTGGCCAGGTGTAATTAATGTCGGATTGTGACATCAGCAAGTGGAAACATGGGTGACCAAGTCGGTGGAACAACAGCCAATCAGCACAGGGCAGCCCATGCTCTCCATTAGTATAAATAGAAGGTTTAAAATAAGTGTAAGAGTTAGCATTTCAATACTCAGGCTCTAGAATAACATCATTACTCTTATTTCTTGTATTAAAGCATTGTTTCCGACCTACCGATCGGGAAATTCCTTGTAATCAGACTGGTTAGTTAATACAAGTGAGCTTTCGAGTATTAGTGAGTTGATATCTTATATTTTTTATACACTTTGATTCTGTACCATCCCTGATATATCCAAAGTTCGTGTTGGGCTTTCGGATCTACGAGATTTACCCTCAACACACTGTATTTGTATGTATTTTAAAAGAGAAAACGTACTCCCTCCGGTTCCAAAAGATTTTGACACTCTTTAACTTCACAGTTTTTAAGGAAACAAACATTGTTTGGCACTGTTTGACATTGTTTTGTGTAGATTTATTTGCCAAATAAGACAAATAAGGAAGTGTAAAGATCTTTCTGGTACTGCTAAAAATGGAAAGTGTAAAGATCTTTCAGAACCAGAGGGAGTATTATAAAAGGTTAAAAAGTTAAAAAAGTATAACTGTTAAGGCTACTACACTTTGGTGCCAAAAATTACTACCTCCGTCACATAAAATTCTTCCACTTCTTTTTTGGACCGTCCTAAAAAATTCGTCCCACTTACCATTTAAGACAATTTATGTGATTCACATTCATTTCATCTTTTTCTTACACAACTAAAATCACACATTTGCACATTATTCAACTTTCAATCTCCGTTCCAAGTCAAAGTGGGAGTACCATGCGCACGCCGATTTCGGGATATAACCACGGCTAAATTAATCAATTACAGTAAACAACACACTACGTAACAAAGAAGCATCCATGTGTGTTAACAGTACACAGATCCAATGCGAACAACAAAACCCCAAATCATACGGAAAGCTTTACTTCGCAACAAGGTGAGAATCATCCGTCCCCCGATGTCTAGGGTTTCTTCCCCTCAAATCACCACCAAAAGCTAGCTTTATCTTTTCAGTCATTGCCGCCAGCTCCCAGTTTCTTCAGGGGATCGGCCACCGAGGTTCGTCTTTCGTCATCTCTGCTATGATGTTTTGTGATTCTCGGTTCGGCGAGGAAGACCAATAGTCTACACTTTTCGGAAACTATTATGCATGAGGGAATATGTCAAAGTGGGTTCTCTTAATACACTGGATTTGATGTTTTTGCTTTTAGGGGTTTTGTATCCGTGATCTGTTGACTGGCGACAGATGAGGAAAAAGAGAAAAGGCAGCGAGATTTTATGCTCGAAGCAGAATGTGATTGTGAGCACGACCAATGGTTCTGAAACGTCCTCCATATCGAATTTCAAGTCTCATTATTCATTAGAAGATTATTCTAGGTTGAGGAAGCGGTGCAAGGAAGATGCAGATTATGACACACTGTGCTGTGAGGCTGTTAGGTCATACAAAAGTAAGAACAGACTGGCTGGCATTGCGGCCACTGCCCCTCCATGTGGAACATCCTCGTCTGTTTCATCTGGAAGGGGTCTTAAGAGGAAGATAGGATGCATAGATGTGGCAACCCAAATGGGTCATCAGAAGAATAAGATTGATGAAGACTACGTATTAGGTGAAACTATTGGGAAAGGAAAATTTGGATCTGTTCGTCTGTGTAGAAACAAGGCTACTGGTGTTGATTTTGCATGTAAAACTCTTCTGAAAGGGGAAGAAACAGTGCATCGGGAAGTGGAGATAATGCAACACCTGTCAGGGCATCAGGGTGTGGTAATGCTGGAGGCAGTGTACGAAGAAGACGAGAGGTTCCATTTGGTAATGGAGCTATGCGGTGGAGGAAGGTTGATTGATGACATGGCAAAGGTAGGACCATACTCCGAGCAACGGGCTGCCAACATATTTAAGGAATTAATGATGGTGATCAAGTATTGTCATGACATGGGTGTAGTACATCGTGATATTAAGCCTGAAAACATCCTACTTACTACATCTGGGAAGATAAAGCTTGCAGATTTTGGCTTGGCTATGAGGATTGCCAATGGTAGTCACTACAACCATTAGATGATTACAATTCTAATCTGAAATCTTTTTCTTGTATGCATAGTCACTATTAAACTCTTTTTCAATCAATAACTACTCATATTTTTTCATTAGCACTTTGCATCTAACCTTGGAAGAGGTTGGCACTTTTTTATTTTATTCTAAGTGCTTCATTTTGTTTATGGAATCACTAGGAGGGGGATCCGTTTGGTACTTGGAAATACAATAGAAAGAAAATACAACAACAACATCCAAGCCTTAATCCCAAAAGAATTTGGGGTTGTCTAATATGAATTGATCTATGATATTGTTGCCAAACAGAGAGACCGACGTGGGAGGAGTAAGATAAAACGGATAAAATAAAGATAAATTAATACTTCCTCCGTTCTTAAATAAATATAACGGTCAACATTTCACACTTGCCGAGACACAACTTTGACCATTAATATAAATGATTTTGTATTAGTAAAAAAATTAAAAAAATTAGATTATGAAAATTTACAATGAGACAAGTTTAACAATATTTTTTTCATAAAATAATATTATTACATTAATAAATAAAACGTAGTCAATGTAGAACATGTGAATAGTGTAAAAGTCAAAGTGTTGCATTTATTTAAGAACGGAGGTAGTATAAGGTAACAATAACATACGAATGTAAGAAAGATAAAAGATAGAAATAATAAAGAGCATAAAAAAGCTAGAAGATAAAAATAACATAAGATTATAAAAAGATAAAGGAGATGAACGATAAAAGAAAAGAGAGGAAATGTAGAAAAGACATCAATCGTCCACACAAATGTGCGCCCTCCATTTTGCTCTTTCCAAAGCCATACTCTCTTCCAACCCAATAAGATGCATATCAAATCTGATTCCTCTAATCCAAGTCTGCTTGGATCTTCCCCTCCCTCTCTTCTCCCCACCCCTCAAGTCGTTTAAAAGGTGCATCACTTGGCCTTCTACGCACATGCTCAAACCAGCGAAAATGAGACTCCTGCATCTTATCTTCTATAGATGCTACTCCCACCTTTTGTCTGATTATCTCATTCCTCATGCGGTCTTTTCTGGTATGTCCACACATCCAACACAACATACACATCTCTGACACACTAATCTTTTGAATGTGACATTGCTTCACCGTCCAACACTCTACGCCATACATTAACACTAGAAAGAAAATAAGGAAGAAAATTTAAAGTGAAGAATATTTGGCTGAGAATAAAATGTAGGCTCATAATTGATCAATTTGTTTTAGAGATTTGCGCAATTATTTTATTGATTTATATATTTTTCGATTGTATAGTGATTAACAAATCTAAATATATGTGAGTTTTTGTACTCTTTAGCAGGTTTTGTTTTCCTTTGCTGCATTTTCCAAGGCTAAACAAATTTTCCATAGCATTCTTTTTCTTTCAACCACATATTCCATGATCCAACTTCTTGCCTGGTCTAAGTAGCATGTGAAGATGCATTCTGCATGTCTCTCTCTCTCTCTGATTGTGTTTTTGTTTGGTGTGTGGGGGGGGGGGGGGGGGGGGTTGAAAACTCCGATTTAGTTGTCAAAGGAGTAGGGTACATGGTGTTTTAAGCTTTTGCTCTCAGAGCTTACGAATAGGGCATACTTCTTAGTACTTAAAAAAGTTAATTGGGACTCTTGTAACTGTCAGTGAGTTCTTTGGAACCTCAACAGCGTAGCAGGCAGCTATGTTACTGTTGTCTATCCTTTTTGTGTCTACTCCCGTCTCCCAAGGTACAAGTTAAAAGAAAATATGATGAAACCCAGTCTTTGTGATGTTACTGATAGTTTTAAGAATGTTTCTACTTTCATGTGTATTGGTTTAAACACCATGCCAATACAATGTATTTGGGGTATACACTTAGATTTAAGTCCTTATTGGTGACACAAACCATTTTGATCATCAGTCATTCAGTGTGACTTTAATCATTGATAGATTTCATGTTGCTGAAGTTATCCTAGACCTTTTTTTCATGTAATGACACCATATTTGAACTTTAACCATGTCTATTCTTTTATTAGTGAGAAAGCGAAAAGGGCGTATACTTCAAGCATTTTATTCTACCTGTAGTCCTGTATAGTTAGTCTCAAAATTGTCTGCATATTTGAAGAGAAAAGTTGTGGATTCCTTACGCTGAGCTTCAAAAAAATCTGTTGCGACTGTGTTAGCCACCGTATTTGCAAAAATGGCTACCCGTGGAGATGCTGTATGGTGGAATCCCCCCAAATTCAAGAAGTTCTGAAGTAGGACCCTGTATTATAAAGAAATTATGATAACATAATTGAATTGTTCTTAGGTAATATTTGGGAAGTTGTAATACAGTGTAATAGAATGCATGCCGATGCATTGTTTGGGAAGTTGTAATGTAATGCAATTGAATCATTTCTATTGCGAAGTGATTCCATTACATTGTATTACATCTTACCAAACACTGTCTTACTACTTAGTGTTTTATCATTTAGCTAAGCTTGGATTGATTGCACAAGATGAGTTTTTCTTGCATCAAGGACAAACTAAGACATCCAAGTATCCTCAATGTGATCTTTCTCATGGTGAAGCAAATCTAATATTTTATACCTTGATCTGCTTATGAATGAAGTTATAGCTGATATTTTGGCATTCTATTTTTATTTTTACGATTTTCTAGGACCATTGCCCTCAGTCATTCTAACCAAACCATTTTCTTATGTTACTGTTGTTATAGTCTTGATTGTTATTAGTTGATAATTAGTTCTGTTATATAATAATCAAATACGCAGCTACAAAAAGGGAAGTTAAAATGGCACTCCTCTTAGGAAAATGTATTTGGGTTTTACGGCATGACGAATTGTTGATTGAAAATATCTTTGGCCTTTCATTATCTTTAGCTGTTCATTATCTTTCTGCTTATGATTTTATGTTTGTGTTATTTAACAGGTCAGAGATTAACTGGTGTGGCTGGAAGCCCAGCTTACGTGGCCCCAGAAGTGCTTTTGGGGGATTACTCTGAGAAAGTGGATGTTTGGAGTGCTGGGGTTCTCTTACATGCCCTTCTTATTCAACTTCTTCCCTTCCAGGGTGACTCTTTAGAAACGGTATTTGAGGCAATTAAAAACACAAAGCTTGATTTCCATACAGAAAAATATCAATTTGTATCTAAGCCTGCACGAGATCTCCTTGAGCGTGTTCTTGCGAGGGATGCCACTGCAAGAATTACTGCAGATGAAGTGCTAAGTATGTTTTTTTTGTCTAGCAATAATGAACATTTGACCCCATTTTGTACTAGACTTTTGGCTCTGAATCTGTTGATTTTTCTTAAAGGCAAAATCAGTAATTAGAACTCGGTAAGATCTTTCAAACGAGATATTAAACGTTTACAACGGCACAACAAAGAGCAAGATATGATCGCATCAAATTCTACAAGAGTTCGGCCTGTTTGGGCTAGACTTTAGAAACGTCCAAAAGCACTTTTCCATAATTTCAAAAGCAGTGTGTTGCCGCTTGTATTGAAATAAACATGTTACTGAATTATAATTTTTTAATTTTCGCTTTTAAATGGTATGCTAAAGAGCGTTTTCTTAAACAAAGTGCACCAAATTGGTGCTTTTTATAGAATTATCTACAAAATTGCCTTTTATTCGTCATCTCATAAGTATTAAAAAAACAAGGTCAAAGGCTAAGCTACTTTGGGTTTTTCTGCTTAGAAGAATATGTAAGCCGACTCATTCTCCTAATGGGTGTTTCTACTTAACCTTGATCAACTGATTATCCAGGAACTTTTTTTTTACGTCACAGGTCATCCATGGATTATTTTCTACACTGAACGCACATTGAGGACATTGTCCATTAGGGCAAAGCCAAAACATCAGGGGGGTGGTCTGGTCCAGACACTAACTACATCCACACTAGAATCAGAGGGAAACATGACCGGGAATAGTCTGATTGTTAAGGGTGGAGCTCCTGAGGGCTTTAATGGAGCATATGACTGTGAATCAGATGAATCTGGGTTGGTTGATGCACTTGCAGTGGCAATAACACATTGCAGGATATCTGAACCAAAGAGGAGCAGGTTATGTGTTAAGCGTACAAGTCCAATTAGGGAGGAGTGTTCATCTAACTTGACTGCCAGCAACCTGTGCAAAGCATTTTGAGACTGATATAGTATGTACAGAAGATCTTAGTTTACTTACCAAGATGGGCAGGGATGTTGTGTTTGCATTGGCACTGCTAATGTTGGCATCCAACAAATCTCTGCACATATATATGTAAATAGTTTATCTTAGCTGATGATGAATTTATGCTGTTATTTCATTGACTAATAATGTAATATATGATAGTCTGAACAGAGCGGCCTCCTTCACTCTTATTTGTTTGACAGAAAAGCTGATGCTAATATTAATTCATCATGACATTTTCAGCTGCTGCATTTCCTATTTTACCATTTGTCTAGTCTAAGACCGTGCGGACTCCGGCTCCTCTCCAGTACATACGGCACTGGAGCATTCCTTTTGATTTATTAGTAGGATGTATGGATGGACTCGGGCCGGGTGGCCCGACCCGGAACCGGCCCGGGACCGGTACTGTTCCGGCCCGACCTGACCCGGTGGCCCGGTCAGTGACCGGTCCGGGTAGGCCCGGCCCGTGGGTTTTCCGGTCCGGGCTCGGGTCACCCAAAACAAGGCCCGACCCGGCCGGGCCCGGGCCCGGTTCGGGTCAAAAACTATTTTTTTTTCAATTTTTTTTAAATTTTCGGGTTGGGCTGGGTATTTTGGGCCATTTGGGGTGGTTTGGGGGGTTGGGGGTGGGAGGGGGGTTAATTAGGAAGAGGGGAAAAAAAATATAATGGGCCCGGCCCGGACCGGACCCGGTGGTTACCCGGGCCGGTCCCGGGTCCACCATTTCTGACCCGCCGGCCCGCCCGAGCCTAGGCCCGGCCCGGACCTAGGCCCGGCCCGGACCTGAGTCCATCCATAGTAGGATGCCACATGCCCACTTATAAAATTAGAGGCCCGGATAAGTACTCATTTGCCCCACTCATTGGCTTCTAGGGAGTAATTAAGTTATCTGTTTTGATTTCTTTCTTCTCTATTCCACTTGTGACCAACCGGAAGTTAATGTTTAAAAAATTGCTTAATTTAGAGAATGGGTAATTCAAGAAATTAATAAAATTTGTATTACTTACTTCCTCCGTTCTTAAATATGAGTCCTCTTATGTTCTGACACGGGTTTTAAAAGGAAAATAATAAGGGTAATGTAAAAGGTGTAGTGGTTTGTGGGCAAATGAAAAAGTAGGAAAGAGAAAGAGGTAATGGTAATAAAAGGGGGTATATAAAAGTATTTTGATTGAAAAAACTTACCAAAAAGGGAAAGAAGGACAAATAATTAAAAACGTTCCAAAAAGAAATGCGAGACAGTTAATAAAGAACAGAGAGAGTATTTAATAAGTTAAACAAATCTTATTAAACTTATTTAACTTATTAAATAAGTAATAAGTTAAACAAATCTTATTAAACGTATTTAACTTATTAAATAAGTTAAACAAATCATCCATCCTATCCAAAACATGCAGCCCTCTCCCTTGAATAAGGGTTCCAGTCTTCGCCGTCTTGTGTGCGACGTTTAGATTTAGTCGTCCTTTGGAGCGACGATTAGGTTAGCAGAGGACGAATTGTTCGCAGGAATATGGCTAGGCGTGTTGTGGCGGCCGATGGAGAAGGAGTTGCGCGAGCCAAGTGATGGAGAAGGGAGGCGTGTAGAGGGGCTGAAATTGCGGGGCAGATGGAGGTTGTGCGCCAGTGAATCAATCGAGCGACGGGCGGGAGCTGTGCCTTGTTTGTGTCAACAATTATAGTGATGATCCGGTCTCCTCCTGAACCACTGCCAGAGGATGAACGAGGTGTTAGGGTTCAAGATACTTGTTTTGTTTATTTAGTTTTTTCTTGTTTACTCCTCCTATTAGTTTTTATTATTTTATCATTTGGTTTCTCGTTACCGTCTATGTTGTTAGGTTTGTCAGTTTGTTTGGGAATTTAGCCTCCTTTTATGTCATTGGGTATGTTTTGATCTATGAGAACATAGATGGTTGTGTCAAGCCCGCGGCATGGTTAGCGATTCGTGTTGCTCTTTCAAGGGTGACCGTCTCTAAGTCTGATCATAGGGTTTACAGTCGTAGTTGTTGAAGTTTAGATGATGTCAGATTTGTTTTTCCTTTGATTGATGTAATGATCCTGAAACTTATGATATGAATAGAGGCGAGTTTCCGTTCAAAAAAAAATAAGTTAAACAAATCAACGAACATCAAAATCACAAGTAACACTTTAATGTCTAAATTAAAAAACGCAGTTTGAATCATCATCAATAAACGTCCCAAATTTCTATTCGTAATGAAAATTAACGACTAGAGCAAAAGCTTCAAGTTTCAATTTAATAAGTCTGCAAAATGCTATCCACAATGTAAATTAACAAAAAATAGTTTAACAAAATTTGATCTTAAAAATGTTAAACTAAAATATATAATAAAATAGTATTTTACTGAATTTGTTGATCTTTTTTTCTTTTTCTGCATTTCATGTGTCTTTCTTTTTCTTGATAACTTTTCCACCCAAGCTTTAGGCCGCTTATTTCCCTTCTTAGAAGAATCGTAAGATAAGTCAAAAGAGAAGAGACAATAAAAAAAACGGGTATGGTTAACTCCAATGTATTTTTTCCCTAAACATAAGAAGACCCGGACAGAGAAGAGTCGTGTAGGTGGTAAGGGAAAAATTTATACGGGAAAGGATTGGTAAAATTAATAATAAATTTATTCATTGGTAACTAAAATGAATAAGGGAAAGGATTGGCAAAAATTAAATCCTAGCCTTTAAATTTATAAGTGGTCATGTGGCATCCTGCTAATAAATCAAATGGACTCCTCTAGTACCGTATGTACTGGAGAGGAGCAGGACTCGACCGTGTGGTGTCTTGTGGTACACTGGTACTTGCATAGTTGCATGGATATGAGCTCCACAGCCCCAATTGAAGAAAAGTGAGAAGGTTAGGTCCGTTAGGATACCAAATACCTATCTCACGTGGATATTGGGGGGGGGGGGGGGGGGGGGTAAAAGCCTAGTCCCTATCTAACCTTGGGATGGACTGGGGCGGGTCGGCCCGACCCGGGCCCAATACTGTATAGGCCCGACCCGGCTCGACCTGAGCCCAGTATTGTATAGGCCTGGCCTGGGCCAAGACTGGTGGGTATAAGTCCAGGCTTCGGGCTCAATATTTTGGGCCCGGACCGGCCCGACTGCTATCTTTAATTGAGTGCCCAGTCATGTCCCAAAGCTGGGTATAGTTTGGGCCCGGCCCGATCCGGTAGCGGCACACTCCTGGGCCGGTATCGGGCCTGAATCCTTAAGCCTGAAGCCCGCCCAATCCTATCTCGAAGCCTGTCCCGGTCCCGTCCCAATTCATCCCTAATCTAATCCTTGCTATTTTATGTTTGGAGTTTCTTTCCCCGCAAATTTAGGAGTATAAGGTAAGGTTTGAGAATAATACAACAATATGCACATCGGTTCAGATTTGGGTTTTTCATAAAGAACAACTATACACTTAACACTTATACAGTATATACAAGGTGCATGCTTTAAATGTTCAAAATACGTATATATATACGTACGCAGTACACTTTTAAACGTCTTCCATTTGAAAATAAGTCTTGGTATATACAGAGTACATTACTACCCCGTCTCCCTAATAGTGGGACATAAAAGAGTGACGTGGTTTTAAAGAAAAGTAAAATTATGTGGTTGATAATGAATTGATAAAGTGAGAAAAAGTAAAAATAAATTAGAGACACACAAATGTTACCAAATATAATATTACTCCATATGTAATAACAAGGCGTAAGCCACTACACAAGATAGAAATACCTAAAACTAAGGCTTTATTATTATAATATATGTCGTATATGTATATCAATTCGTATCCTTATGTGTAAAAATAAAAGTGCAATAGTGTATCAAAGAAAGGAATCATGTTCAAATTAGGGATGGATTCGGGCCGGGTCGGGACCGGGCCGGGCCTAGGCCCGGTCGGGCCGCCGGTTCAAGAATAGTGGGCCCGGGACCGGCCCGAGGGTTGGACGGGTCCGGTTCGGGCCGGGCCACCCGCCCGGGTCACGGGTCGGGTCCGGTTCGGGCCGGGCCGGTTAATTGTTTTTTATATAATTTATATTTTATATTTTATAGTTTTATACGAGTATTAAAAACAAACTTCAATTGCATTTATTTGAAATGAAATAGGAACTACATTTGAAAATTAAAACAAACTTTAAGAGATAAACATTTTGAAAATTGTAATCAATCGGAACTTCCCGCACCTCCCGATCCTTTGGCTTTCTCACATGACTTCATATGCTTGATTGCCATCCCGAATCCGCCTGAAGCCCCCATGTTACATTTTTTCTCGCACCTTTTGCAAATTGCGTACCACATCCTGGTCTTCGGGTCCTTCTGCTTATCAAAATTATACCGTATAATGACATCTTGATTTTCCATCTTAACTTCTTAAGTATAAACTATAAAGTAGATATATAAATAATAAATATAATATATTGGAGAATAAGAGAATTAGAGAGTAGAGAGTTAAGAATAGGATTTAGGAAGAATTGGAGAAGAGATGAAAAAATGTTTAAGATTAGGAGTATTTATAGGTTTTTTTACCCCCCACCCCCCACCCCCCACCAGCTAACCCCCTCGGACCCCCCTTTACCCCACCCAACGGCTATATAGCCGTTTGGGTTGTCCCCAGCCCCACCCCCAAGGCCCCAACGGCTAGTAGGAGCCCAAATCAATTTTTTTTTTTAAAATAGACCCGGACCCGGGCCCGGGCCCGACCCGGCCGGGTCACAATAATGCAGAACCGAGCCCGCCCCGCCCCTACCCATCGGTTCGGGTCCATACCTGGTCCCGGACCGCCCGACCGGGCCGGTCCCGGGCCCGCACAGTACCGGGCCGGGCCGGGTCACGGGCCGGGTGGCCCGAACCGAATCCAACCCTAGTTCAAATAGCTCAATTATACAACAAAATAATCTGATGAATATCAAAGTATTGCTGCTATAAATAAATGAACCACAGTGATAACTATTTTACATATATATACTCCTATAATACTAAAACAGTACACTACATTTTCTTATAATACACAACTACACAAGTACACAAGCATGAACACATACTATTTGAAACGAGTCACATAAGGGAATCTCTTGACTCACCAATATTAATAAGTTCTACTACCTTCATTTCACCTAAACTTTTCATTTTTGTGGACGTCAGTTGACTCAATAAAATTAATTCCTTTGGGACGCTATTTAAATATCAATTAATATTTACATATTTAGAAACTACAC